AAATCGCTAGAGCTAAGGAAGAAGTACCATCCTGCTGGTCATATTTGTCTTCAATATTACTCCCTTCCAAAACCATATTAACCAAAGTCAAAAGTTTGTTTGGTACGGAGTCACGTTGACATGTCTCTGTAAAAGATCCATCGAATAGATGTTGACTTTTAGAGAACATTTTCTTTCTTACAATCTGTGCAGCTTTTGCCAAATGAACTATTTCTTCGTCAAAGTTATTTTTCTCAGCAAATTGAACGGCTCTACTGACATCTCTTGTGAATACTAACTTAACTTCCCTGCCTTCATTATACGCTTGCAAGTCTGGAAGTTGGGATAAAAGTCGCTCTTTCAGGCGAGTTGAATTAATACGTTGGGGGACATTGGCTTCTAGTTGAATCAGGCGGGAAGAGTATAATTTAACAAGGTCAGAAAGTATAAAAACTATTGGTCCTTCAGCAGCTTTTTCCTCRATGAATGTTACCAATTCTGCTAAAGCTAGAGCCTCTGCGTATTGTTGGTTTTGTTCCTGCGAATTTGTTGCCTTATATTGCTCTTGGTTAAAGCTCCTGACACGATTATAAAGAGCTGACAGGCATGAGAGATGATAGTAAGCATCATTTGCATGCATATCACCACAGGCTATTTTTGCAAGTAATTTTCGGTCTTGCAATAGTGTTACAGCTGCTTTGACTTTCTTATCCAATAACATAGTTTCGGCTCTATGTAATACTCCCCCTTCTTGATCGCAAAAGAAACACTGAGAAGTAGATGTTGAAGCAGTTCCCATTTTTTTCCGTGTTTTGACTGGGCTTCGTAAGTGCTCTTGGTTAGCAGTGCCAAACTCCGCCGACTTTCTCTTCATAGCTCTCTCTAACTTAAGCTTATCACATTGGTTGAAGCAGTACTTATGCCATGAAGCCTTGTTATTTTTTAGTGTTTCCTCGAAACCATTTCCTTCATCAAGTCTTTCAAAGTTAGTTTTTATCGGACAATGGCCAATACTTTTAAATTTAGCTAAGTTTTCTGCCAGTGTTTTATACCCAGAACCATAGTTTTCTCGCCTTCCTGTAGCATTGAAAGGACAAATCAACTTTTCACCTGTGYCTTCCTCACACAGAKCACATAATTTCCAGTTTTTCGGGCTTTCTTTTGATGTATTTACCTCCATTTTCGGTCTGGATTTCACAACGAAACAGGTGCTCCGAAAAAAAATGCCAGGCATTCCTCGAAAGACACRGGAATCCCAATAGAAGTATTTTCTTGTATTTTAATCATATTTTTAAGTATTTACAACTAGAAAATCATAAACTAGCACTTAAAGAGTAAAAATTTTGATTAAAGAAATATTTTTTGTGATTTTACAGCAAAAATTGATAATTTTGTGAGCCTGTGATCCTAGACCGCTGACCACTCAATTTCCACGCGGAAAATATGCTTTTATCAATGAGATCTTGATGGGGTCCTGATCTTATTTTGATTGTCAACCTCTGAAGTGCCTTTTCTGAAAATTTCATGCTTCTATCACAATTTGAACAATTGTGGCATTTTTCGCTGCTTATCTTCCGGACTAGAAGTAGCCGAGAAGGTCTGCATAGTTCAAGAGTTCCCTTACAAACTGGGCAGCGTACAACATCAGATTCAGTACACTTCATCCATTCACTTATGCATGTTAAACAAAAATAGTGTTCGCAATGACTCCCCTGTAATGGTCTACTTAGGACCTGTTAAATACAAAAAAACCCCTTATATTTACCTTTAAAAAAACACAAAGTACCGGAACATTTTATTTACCTCTTGACAAATTGGACACTGTAGTACGTCGTTTAGGTCGCAAAATCTGTCGATATCTGGCGTTACCTTTACGATCTCTTCGGGGATAATTGATTCCGGTATTGTTATTGTGTTTGTATTTTTCAAGTTTGATGTCTCGCCTATTTTTTTCGATGAAGGACGACCTCTTCCCTTAGTTTCCTTTTTCTTCCTTCCGCCCTTGTTTCTTGCAGTGAACATCGCGCAAATTTTACAGTTATGGATTTGGTGCGAAGTCMACTCTACGGGATGAGTTTGATGACAATATTGCCCGGGTTTCTTTTCAAATTTGCATGTTTTTGAGTAACAAGTGGGGCAGAAACTTGGGGGATGAATTGAATTCAAGTCAAGAGAAACATCGACTGAAAAAGTATCCCATATCTTCTGTGCATTTTTTTCCTCATTAACAGGRTATTTATGCCGCGAACCTAAATGTTCTCCACAAATACGGCAAGACTTGGCTAATTGTGACAAGTGAAATGCTGCCATTACATCTGAAAATAGGCGAAAATAAATACATGAAAAAGTGCATAAAAAATAGTTTACAAAACCAAACGACGTTTAATTGAATAAAAAGTTAATGGCTCAGTTTTGTACTAGTTGACCTCAGTCACGGCAGACGAAAGTCTCAACAGTAAAAGGGCTTTTTGGAAACAAAAAATTGCTCTTTTTATAAAACAAATACATAAATAAATGTGTCCATTAACTACTCACCATCTTCCATCATTTTCCTGTTCAAAAACCATAAAAATTATATTTGCTTATTTGCTTAGTCCTGTGAATGGTGAAAAAAATGATAGCAAAAGTCAAAGAAAAAAAATAGTTTATAAAAAAAGAATGCGTTATTCAATGATAAAATGTAATGAAGAACGTTGTTGTTATGTTTTTTTATCATAAATTTGCTCTGAACGTATTTAAAAGCAGAAACAATTCAGCGATGTTTYGGCCCACGAGTTTTGCCGCGAATGTGATTCCGTACGGCATTGAAATGGTTTTTTATTTACAAAATGGTGTTTTGGGCAAAMAAAATACAAACAWAAGATGAAAAGCACAAATACTTACCATTATCCATTCATCTTCGTCTTCATTTCAATCGAAAAAGTCCAATTTTAGCGTATTTTCTCGGACGTCAAAAAGTTTGAATTTGCCGCCATTTTGTTGCTAAGAAGAAAATCCCCCTTGACAACGACGACTGGCCGCGCGCGCGCCTGGGACCTAATGTCGCGAACGAAACAGCCGTGAGGCATCCATCAAATTCACTAACGTCTTGGTAAATTGTCATTGTTGTTGGTAAGTATACACTCAACTGTACATGTTTTTGAGAAATGATTATGTTTTCTGGTTCGTTTCTCTTTATCGTTCCTATGTGAATTTTTTGCAGTTCATTGTTTCTTGGCTGGCTTTTTTTCGAATAAATTTTGTATAAATGTTCTACATCTTGAAGTTTTTTGCTCTATTTTCAAAGAAAAGGTAGAAACTTTGAAAGTTCTTAGTGAATTGTTCCTCACGTCTGGAGTTCATTATTGAAATTGATGACAATTTCAAGTTTTTTCAGTGTGTCAACTGTGTTTCTTTGAAATGGTTGACCTTTTGAACTTTTTTCTGTCTGTTTTGAGAGAATATTTATAGTACTTTTTGGAATTATTCACACTTCAAATGTCTTTTTGTTTCTTGGTATCTCTTTTTGAAATGAGTTCTCAGCAATTAACTGTACTAGGCACATTTTGTTAAGTTCAACTGAACATTATTGATAACTAGGCACCTATTCGCAGTTTTTATTTTCGGACAAGAAAAATAGACTTTTCAATTTGTTGCTGAAGTCTTCGGTCGTCCGGAGTCATTTTTGGATTGGTTGACATATTGGATTTGTTTGTCCTTCTTAGTATCTCTTTTCAAAAAGTAACTGTAATGTGCCCCTTTTTTCAAGTTGAAGTCAACTTGATTAATAACTGGGCAACTTCCTTGGATTTTTCGTGATATTGTTGACATTTTGCTGTTTTTTGTTTTACTTGATCATGACTTCGGGAGTGTCTTTTTTTAAATTGTGGACATTTTTGAACATTTTCCTGTTTGTCTTGCTCTGTTTCACGAGAAGAATAATATGTTTTCAGTTGGTAGTCAATTGTTTCTCAGCTTGGAAGTTCTTTCTGGACTTATTGACATTTGACATGTCTGTGTTTGTTCGTATCTCTTTTTGAAATAAGTTTTGAGAAAGTATATATACTGGGCACCTTTTTTCACGTTCAAGTGAACTTCATTGATAACTGGGCACCTTTCTGGATTTTTCGTGATATTGTTCACATTTTGCAGTTTTTTGTTTTACTTGATCATCACTTCAGAAGTGTCTTTTTGAAACTGTGGACATTTTGAACCTTTTGCTCTTTGTCTTGCTCTGTTTAAAGAGAAGAATAAATTTAATTTGGTAGTGAATTTTTCGTCATCATAGGAGTTCGTTCTGGAATTATGGAATTATGTGTTTCTTCTCTCTTTGAAAGAACTTTTGACAAAGTATATTTACTGTAGCATAACTATCGTATGGTTTCCCTGTGTTATATTTTGTCAAGTTGCATTGTGGGACGGCAAGCACGCGGTCCCAAAAATTTCTCGACGAGAAAGGTCGAATAAAGTTATTGTCATCAGGAATTCAGTCTAGTTTGCCTTCTCCGTTCGAGTCAAGGACCCAGAAGCTAGGGCACTCGCCCAAAGTGGCTCTCAGCAGCTACAGTCGAGAAATTGGGCTAGAATACGAAGAGGAAATCGTCTAAAGTCATGATCAAACATCAATTATGGCGACTCGAGGATTACCCGATCCAAGGAAAAGAACTATGACAGCCAAGGGCTTGGAATACGAGCTCGACAACAAACGGAAATTAACCAGGAAGAAAGACAAGGATTTTATTAATCAGATAAGTACACTTGAAAGCTTCAAAAATGTAAACGARTCAAGGAAAATACTCGCACATCTCACGAGTGAACTAGAAGTAATAATCGAAGCCTACAGTGAAATAGCTATATTGTGTAATGACCCCATCGAAGCCAATGACATTGAAGAAAGAAAGAAATATCTACGGTATATTTGGCAAACGGCTCATGACAAGGCTCGTGTGAACACAACTGGAATCAAACATGCTCAAAGTGATATCATGTCTAGACATTCAAAATCAAGCTCGTCATCAATAAATAAATCTCTCTTAGACATTAAAGCAAAAAGAGCTGCATTACAAGAGAAATCGAAATATGTCTCGGCGATTGCAGAACATAAAGCAAAACTACAACAATTAGAAATCCGACAGGAACTTGAGGAAATGAGAGCAACAGAAGAAGTTTACCAAAACGCATTGATGGAAGAAGGCGATCTCGAAGTGAGATTAGGACCCTTTGCACCAATAGATGAACATTACATCATGTCTACATTCATGCAGCATGACTTTGATAACCAAGAACAACCTACTAGCACACCAATTACCACAGGGATCCCAACAGTATTATCTACTCCAACGTCATCTCGTCCACCTATTAAACCAAGAACAATAATAACACCACAACCAAAACCACGCAGCACAGGCAGCCCAGTAACTATTACCCGAGGAAATCCAGGCATGCCCGTCTACACAGACCACCCAG